TTTGCTGCAGAGCCCTATAACAGGACAGGCTAGTATTGTAGAAGACCGTCATTGCCGAGTGATATCTTTGTCGGACCTAGCTAGTTTTGATTTGAAACTGTCTTGTGCTGTCGCTACGGCATCTCCCAAGGTAAAATCACTGACCAATAGCTTTTCAGAAGATGGAAAAGACTGGTTAGCAACAGCATTATCCTTGTTGGTAACGAACCCACTGCCTAACATTACCTGACTATAATCTAAAGAACCTAGACAACGCATTTTCGGTTTCTACGTGATTTAGATTACCTTGGAAACATTAATTAACCTCGGGCTACGCCCTCGGTTAATTAAATTTGTTTCCTCAGTAATCTAAATCACGTAGAAACCTCAAATGCGTTGTCTAACCTATATGTAGGTGTGATTTCAATAAATAAAATTTTAGAAAATTAGTTTTTAGTAAAAAGCTACGTTTATTCAAACTATCTTTGCAAGAAAATTATAAGTCAGGTAGCAAAGAAATTGTAAGCAAGAGCTTGTTTCAATTCAAAGGTTTGTCTCATAATGTGATCTGTCTCATTACTCACGCATATACTCTACTGGTTTGATAAGATGGAGAACAGCAGGAGCAATAACACGCTCCATTGGTGAGAAGTAGTAGACAGCCTCCACATTTCAAGAGCAGTAGGGAATTAGAGAACAGCGATGACAGCAGATTGACTATATGAGGATTGAAATATTTTCTTATGTGGGAGAGCTAGTCTGTTACACTACAACTCACTGAATATTGTGAGTATATAGAGACACACAGAGCATCTACTGAGCTAGCACATAGATAATAGAGTAAATGAAAGGGATTAGCAACGGGGCGTAGCAACAGGAAATGCGGGTTGGGTTACCACGTGACAACCATCAGTGTTTTGATTGATTTCCCATCTCCTCCATTGGTGAAGTTGCTCTGGCAGGATTTCGAAGGAAATTTGTGCTGCTCCAAGATAGCGCTTGCTTTTGATATATAGCCTATTCCACATAGAATTTTTAGAGCTACCTGTAGCAAGGTTTTCATCTCCAAAAAGCCATTTTGCAACCAGTTAGAGGTACACAAAGTCGCCTGTTTTTGAAACACTTTATCGTTCGTAAAACACTCAAGCTTGATTGTATCAATATGCAAGTTAGCTCATTCCATAGGAGATTTCAAGCTCTTTA